CCCCCCCCCCCCCCCTCACACACACAGACACACTCCATTGTTCGCCTATGCAGGTGCAAGTCGTTGTTTTTCATGCTTGCATCTAAATTATGTTAGACCCTGCAATATACATGAACTTTCATGATTACTCTATTATTTGTTATTACTTTCCAAGATGGAATTTAATAAACATTTCTGTTAAGATTTTGACTAACATTAGCTCTTTTTCGTTTGGTGCTGAAATAACCAGGTCGAAACCGACCTGGTATTTTGCAGGTTCATATTTTCGGTTCAGTGCATGCTATATAGATAAAAATAACACCATTCGATTAGTGAAAAAATTCCCTATCGATAGATATAATAAAATGTCAACATTATAGCGATTTACGACCTTTAGAGAGCAAGCGGTGTCATATTTCACTAGATTACACAATATTCCCGAAAAATGTAAGAATGTAATAAAATGTATCACAAAGGCATACCTTTCGCCGAACATAACTTCGGCCCCTTTCAAGATATCTTTTTCATAATAGTCTTGTTCGAATCACAATCCAAAACACTATTTAGAGTGTTATTTTCAAGCTTGTTTCGACAGATTTGCATCATTTATTTCGGAATTTCAAAATATCTAAATTTTACGCGAGAACTTCGACGGCGGTTCGACCTAAATACACTTTAGATCTGCCAAAACATTGCGTTGTTTAAATCCTATCGCTCGGTAAACGTCGGAAATCGATTCTAAAGGTCAAATTACACCTGCAGCGTGATTTGCACGTGCATCTGGCTACGAGTGCTCCTTATTGGCCAATTTTAGCGTGTGGCGGGCGCGTGCGAGTAAAAACCGGTAAAAACCCGATATTTTGAAAAAATCAAAATAAATATATTTCTACTGACAGTATTCAAACGAAATTTTCCACACGAAAGCGCTTGAATACAAGGAGTATTTCACTCAGATTGACTTGTGGGGAATTCCGAGGAGTTCGAGAGATATTCAAGATTTTCTGGATATGAAATACAGAATATTTGGCAAAGCGGTGAGTAAAATACACGATTGTTTTGGTTTGTGTAATGTTATAACGGCATTTGACCCCCGGTTCGAAAGGTTATTTTATGAGGATTTGAACGGTGGTTTCCGTTTTAATGGGGGGTAAATACTCTTTGAGATATTTACATCGGAAGCAATTGAATGAAAAATATGAAATATATCGCCGGACGATAAAGTTAAAGCGATTTCCTGTTTATTACTTATAGTTAAAACGTCACTCATGTCATGTGCGGAACAAAATGTAAAATTATTTGAACTCATTCCTTGACTGCTTGAGCTAACTTCACTTCCGTTCCCCACATGCAGAGTTCAACATAGTAAGCAGTTACTTATTCGACAGGATTCTACACGTCAATTATAGAATAGAACAGAATAAAAAAACATATTATACATTTTGCATACATGAAACAAATCGATATATAGTTCAGTGATTGATGCTGCACTACTCAATTCAAGGGCAAAATATAAACACTTACATTTTGTAATACAGGTTTGATTGCATTCGTTTTAGTTCTATTTTTACGGAAGCGCAGACGCGACACACGCCCATGTTTTTCACTTTTACATTAGTCGGTTCTTGTTTTTCAGGTTCTTGATTTTCAGAGACTTAATTCTCAGGTTCTTGATTGTTCATTTAATACGAATTGCAGAATAGTGACATGGACTTTTAGCTGTACAGAGCTTTTAGATGTATAGTCCGTCTCTGACAGCAAACTATATATAGTGCATAGAATAAGTAATGTATATTTGTTTCATATCCCGGCTGGGGCAATTTAGCGTCTCAATCTTCATCTCATACCTAGCGTATTAGCGGCTTTCCTATTGGCTACGAGGAGGTGCGTTCAATCTCGAATCCACCTGCTGACGTATGTTTAGTAGGTGGGTTCGAGATCGATGTTCGGGCGGCGGCCATTATGAAGTGATTTGAACAAATTTCAGACGAAGGTTTAAATAAAAAATAAATTAACTTTTTTTAATTGTTTTATAATAGTCTGGGACCTGTATAGATGTTTGTATGCATTTCATTTAGCACAGGTAATCTCAACTGTTTTAGGGTAAAATGACCATGGTGGTCATCATGGCATTTGGGCCAAAACCTGAATCCGGGGCGAAAGTCCTGAAAATGACCCCACCCTGAAACGGCAGTGCCGACAAAGTTCCAACTTCCGGAAACGAAAAGCGACAGCCATTCTGAAGTGCGTATGGCGTTTAGAAGGGTTGCTTTTAGGGGTGGTCTTTGGAAGGAAAAATCTGTCTAAGTATAATATTTTACAAGAAAGTGACCATGCACCACCCCAGGTAAATTGCTAATTATGCATAAAATAACTAATGCCTGTTTCAAACGTCGCATTTCGCATGTGTCGAATTCAATTGCTTGAATTATGTGCATGCAAAATTCGACGTCTGAAACGATTAAATGCGACGTTTTTAATTGCGGTCGACCTTAACTTTAAATTCAACCCGACCGGTCGCATAATGCGAGCAAAGTGCTAGCTAAATGCGACCTGTTTCAGACGTCGCATTTTGCATGTGTCGAATTCAATTCTGCTAGGGTGGGGCTCGCGGAAAAGTCTGGAACGAGGTAAAAGAAGAAGGCATGTAGTGTTAATGGATCAAATTTCGCGTGTAGGACATAGAATGGCAATAATTCCATGTTTTTTTGTGTGTTTGTGTGAAAAATAGTCAATAGCTATAGCCTAGCGTGAGTTTATATGCAAGCGAAAATAATGTCGCGAACAAGAACATTTATACGGGACTACATAGTATTTTTTCGTGCTTTAAATAAGACGAGCCACGGCTTATTTCGCTGGTATAGTGGTATACTGATTATTCTATGGAATGGCCCTACTGACATACTGTGTTTATTTTTAAGCGAAAGTTTAAAAATAAATGTCAATCTATTAATTAAAACTATCAAAGGGGCGTGTCTACACTCTACAACACTTACAATTTCTAATTAAATGCATGCAAAATGCGACGTTTGAATCAAAAGTCGAATTTCATTCAATTCGCTCGAATGAAATGCGAATTGTATTCGACACATGCAAAATTCGACGTTTGAACCATGCCTTAATATGCCTGGCAGAAATTAAATGCTCTTATTTCCTAAAAAAATTATCATGGGATGAAAAACTATGCTGAATTTAATATAATTATTGTAGTTTTTATAAGGATTGCCATTGTTTTCTTTAAATATAATACATTTTAATTCACTCAACCCTCACGAAAACACGATTTCAGCCATCTTGTTTGCATTTTTGCCGTCTTGTTTGCTTTTTATCGCCGAGTCTCGCAAATATCATGCAGTTGTTGTACTTTTACATAATGATAAATGGCTAAAGAAGATTTCAACCAAGTTTCATCAAGTTTTGAAGCAGTGCAGTGTATTTTATCTTCGATATTGTGTCCTTCGATATTTCGTCAAACTGCCGCCATTTCAATGGCTCGCCGCCCCGATAAATGCCACTTCTTCGTTTTCATATCTATTTAGATTACATTATCCAAGAGTACTTCATTGTAGAATAGTCCCATTTGGAAGGAAAAACCCTCCCGTTAACCATTTAGGTTAAAAAAACCTAACAAATCATTTGAAAGTCATGCGCAATCTTCGCGAATACTTCTCGTGGACATATGACAGGGGGGGAGGGGGTGAACATTTTCACGAAACGTTTGTTCGCCACCACAGCAACCTAACTAAATATATTGTATTTATTGTATTTTTCTGAATTATGATAAAAACAATAAATATTTGCGTAGTTTTATCATAAAAATAAAATAAATACAATATATTTAGTTAGTTTCCTGTGGTGGCGAACAAACGTTTTGTGAAAATATTCCCCCCTCCCCCCCCTGTCATGTGTCCACACGAAGTTTTCGCGAAGATTACGCGTGACTTTCAGACGATTTGTTTTTTATTTTGAACCAAAATGGTTTACGGGAGGGTTTTTGCTTCCAAATGGGACTAATGCTGTCAATTTTCGATTGGGACTATTCTACAATGAAATACTCTTGGATACTGTAATCTAAATACATATGAAAACGAAGAAGTGGCATTTATCAAGCAGACAAGCGGCGAGCCATTAAAATGGCGGCAGTTTGACGAAATATCGAAGGACACAATATCGAAGATAAAACACACTGCACTGCTTCAAAACTTGTTGAAACTTGGTTGAAATCTTCTTTAGCCATTTATCATTATGTAGAAGTACATTAACTGCATGATATTTGCGAGACACGGCGATAAAAAGCGAACAAGATGGCAAAATATGGCTGATATCGTGTTTTCGGGGGCGGGGGGAGTGAAATAAAATGTATTATATTTAAAGGAAACAATGCAATCCTTATGAAAACTACAATAAGTATTTTAAATTAAGCCTAGTTTTTCATCCAATGATAACTTTTTTTTAGGAAATAAGAACATTTAATTTCTGCCAGGCATATTAGTTATTTCATGCATAAATAGCAATTTACCTGGTGGGGTGCATGGTCATTTTCTTGTAAAATATTATAGTTAGGCAGATTTCTCCTTCCAATGACCACCCCTAAAAGCAACCCTTCTAAACACCATAAGCTCTTCAGAAAGGCTGTCGCTTTTCGTTTTCGGAAGTTGGAACTATGTCGGCACTGCCGTTTCAGGGCGGGGTCATTTTCAGGACTTTCGCCCCGGATTCAGGTTTTGACACATATGCCATGTTGAGCGCCATGGTCATTTTACCCTAAAACAGTTGATATTACCTGTAGTGCTAAATGAAACGCATACAAACATCTATACAGTTCTTAGACTAAAATTATTATTTTTTTTATTTTGTGTGATGAAAATGGAATTTTCTCTATTCAAAGTGGAAGAGAAGAAATATGGCCGCCGAAAATTGTTCGGCACGGGCAGGTTTATATAAATCTTGGCATTGTTTTCGCAGAATGTGTTCATTGTCTCCTTTCAAGAATAAAGGCATATTGTAGAGAAATTTTTTAGCCTTAATTTAAGCCTAAGTTTGTTCGTTTGCGTAGTATGTTGGCGGCTAAAATGTTCGTTATCCAAACACGAAATTATATACTAAAATTAAAATGGGTATAAAATTCTTCAGTACTTTTTAGTATTTTACCGAAGTGGCATGTGATAAAAACAAACATACTTGCAGGGTCGATGAGTCCGGGATTGGACGCACCTCGGGTGGCTGAAAGTTTCCCGAACTCACCTCACCTCGCTTCGCTCGGTGAGTTCGGGAAACTTCCAGCCACCCTCGGTGCGTTCAATCCCGTACTCACCTCCCTGCAAGTATGTTTGTTATACAGTAGAGCGTAGCTTTTTGGATGAAATCCACATGCGTGGGCACAGGCCGCGCTCTTCTCAGAAGGGTCTGGGGCATGCCCCAAGAAAAGTTTTGAATTTGAAGCCGGCAAATACCTTTCCTGCATTCTGAGCAACGAAATTAGATTTAAAATTTGTGGAAAAAGTGACTCTCTTTCACACCAAAAAATAAGAAAAAAACGAAAAAAAGCGACAAAATTTATTCATCAACATACAGTACCATTTCGAAAAAAGATTAGCTTGAAACACCAATTTAACAGTAGTAAGAAAGTTTTCGAATGTACATCGTCTTGAAACAGCGGCACAACGGCAGTTCGGAAAAATGTTTATCTGGCTATAAGCAGCAGCAAAGATCACCCCGAAAGAAAAACTAATAGTTTACTCATCCCTGCTGGTTGCTATAATCTAACATAATCCTACAGTTCATATTTATTGAATTTTAGTTTCTTTCGAACGCCAAAACGCACTCAAATATAATGGCAACACGCTAGATATGTTTAATCGCGCGCAACTCGCGCGGACATATCAAGTCAAACGTGAGCAGAGCAAAGAAAGAGTCAAGCATTAATCGGCCTGAGTTTCATTTTGTATTGAGAGTTGATCTTGTATAATTTCGGATTGCCTCACCATCTTTAAACCTTCGACAAGCGTCAGTTTTTCTTCGATCGACAAACCTTTATCACGAACTCCGATTACGAGCCTGTCGCGAACACTGTCGTCTTTCGCTGTGCCAAAATCGCAATATTCGGCCATCTCGTAAAGGCTTCAATCAATCAATCAATAATTTATTCAAAGTACCTACAATAATATTGAGGCCCTTGCAGGAGATCTGGAGGTTAACCCTATATAAAGATCACCTTTACCTATTACTAAGTTAAAATACCTAAATGTTAAATTACAAGTACATGTCCATGTTCGACTTCAGTTCTCTTTTAAATTCTCTAATGTTATTTACTTCTACAACCGAGCATGGTAAACTGTTCCAGTCACTAATAATCCTTACAAATAGTGAGTATTTGTAACAATTAATTTTGGGTAGTTTAGGATATAAGGTGTATTGGTGGTTAGATCTTGTCCTCTTCGAGTGTCTATATTCTAAAACTTCGCTGAATATTATGCCGCCATTAAGTTCAAATACTATCTTGTAGCACTCTACTAGGGAAAGAAACTTTCTACGTTTTTCTAGTGTGTCCCATTTTAGCAATTTACAACGTTCGTTGTATGGCATTTCGCCTCGTTTCTGTTTCAGAGCAATTCTCGATGCTCTTCTTTGAACACGTTCTAGGGCTTTCACGTCTTTAACCAGATATGGCGACCAAACTGGCGCTGCGTATTCCAAGACAGGTCTCACCAAGGATTTATATAATCTGGAAAAAATGCTCGTACTTGAAAAACCGATAGTCCGTTTAATTAAACCAACAATGCTGTTAGCTTTCTTAACTGTCGAGGCAACCTGATTACTCCATGATAGATCACTAGATACAATTACGCCTAGATCTTTAAATTCGTTCACCACTTTTAGTTTCTTGTCAGACAAGTAGTATTCGGGTATTGATTTATCTTTATGATGAGTTATCCGCATAACTTCGCACTTATCAAGATTGAAGCTCAATTGCCACAAATTTGTCCACTCACTCATACGGTTCAAGTCTGACTGAAGTATTTCCCCGTCGTTCTCTGGGTCCGATAGCTTACGGTACACTTTTGTATCATCTGCAAACAGCTTGACGTGACTTACAATTTCGTTCGGGAGATCGTTGATATAAATTAAAAACAAAATAGGTCCTACAACTGTTCCCTGTGGTACCCCTGATGTTACATTGGCCCATTTCGAATACGATCCCCGAACTAAGTGGTGTATATTTGCGGGTTCTAGCGCATTTTCGATCCGCTTTCTAAACCGGTTCAAACCGGTCCGGTAAATGTCGATTAATGAATGACGTCATTAATTAATTCAGGTTCGCTCCGTCCCTCTAACGCATTTCTTTTCCGAAATTCAATTATGACGTCATCAATCACGTGATCATTTTCCAAAGAATTCAATGATGACGTCATCACGACTTTTGAAACAATTTTTTTTTTAATCCTTCCGAGAGAGTCGATAGTGTCCTATTGCTAGAGTATGTATTCTGTCGGATAGTATAACACGCTTATCGTCGTTTGCCGAAAGTGCCGTGTCTTGAATAGTTTGGAGATGAAATGTCTTATAGAGAATCTCGTGTACAATAAACAATGGGAAAAGAGAATATGTTTGAACATTACACTAAGGAGAGGGTGTACAACCAGAAGCCGAAGGCGGAACCGTATCAGAAACGTTGTTCGGCTTGTATGATTTGGGCTAGTCGGAAGGGTATTACCAAGGACTTTTGGTGTAAACATATGAAACACAACCTCAAGTATTTTAGATAATTTATTTTAATGGATTTGAATCGGAAAAAAAAAAAAAAAAAAAAAAAATTTAATAAAGAAAGGATGTCCATTACCAAAGTTTCAGACTTTACCAAAGACTCGTTCGCTTTCGAAGATGCCGTCGGAAACAGATACGGGTCCAAGAAGATTAAATTAACGGCACGGGATCAGGGTCTGCTTCTGTTGGAACTCACGGATTGTTTGTCTTATGGAGTGAACAGAAACAACAAGTTCGGCAAGGAAAATTACTCCATTTCCCTAGCTCTGAAGGACAAGGCTGAGTTTGTGTCGGTCTTGGAATTGTTGGAAAAGGAATCTGCCAACCACATCGGCAAGTCGGGTGAAAACATTATGAAATGTCTTTATCGGAAAGGCAGCACTCCGACCCTATACGCAAAGATTGACAACGAAACAGAGATCTATCCTCCGAAAGGGGACGAACCCGATGATCCTAAAAAGTATCAGGACAAGAGATTCCATCTCGATGCAATCATCAGAATCGAAAGCATCTATGTGTCCAGCAGTACAACCTCCATTCAGGTGAAGCTACACGAGGCAAACGTATTGGAAGAAAAGCCTAAGGTACCGAGGAAGAGACTTTTACGACAACGGGATT